ACCAAGGAGCCCGAGAGATGTCTGCTTGAAGCCAATGTCTGGAGGACTGGATGCCATGCTGGCTTCAGTACACCTGCTGTCTCCTTCTCACCATAGGTATACCCACCCTTCTGTGGTGCATGGGCTGTGAGGTTTGTTTTTCCCAAGAGCTGTGAACTTCTGGAGGGGTGCTCTGATTCATCTTCAGACCCCCAAAGCTTCCACACCAAACCTTACACAGTGCTCGATGGCCACAGAACCATCACAAGGAAACACAAAGGACCTCTTATTTCAGAAACAGAGGAGTTCCAGACAATAACCAAACTTTGGAGTGTGGCTCACCACTCACGAGTGTGACCTAGAGCATGATGGTTCATCTCCCCAAGCCGCAGTTCTGTGTCCAAAAATAGACTCAATAATAGCTACCTCTGCAGGTTGTTATAGGGATTAGAGATGATGTCAGAGACAAACCCAACACGCCACGGCCCAGCGCATAGTAGGAGCTCAATAAACGGAAGCAGTGATTGCCTGTGGTCACAGGATTGTTTGTGTGTGCCTGAAGCAGTCTTGCTCCAAGAACTTTGGAGTTCATAGCAAGTGACACACAGCTTTTGGTGCCACGGGAACTTCTCTTGTTTTGGTCTTCACATGAATGTCGGGGGTTCTCACCATGGTTCATTCTGCAGTGACGACATCAGCATCTTGACTTAGTAGCCTGGATACTCTGTGGTACTCACGTCCTGTCTGCTGTGGGTAGCTACTACCTGGATTTCTTCTCTGTTGATGATAGGGGTTGGGATAGATATAGGAAGGGGCCATGTCCTCTGTCAGTTCTCCCTCAAGTCAGCAGTTGGAAGTGAAACTGATGTGTGTGTATTGGAACAGATGTTACAGTGATCCAGCTGCTACCTCTCACAACTCTGGTCACCTTTTGAGATTCCTGTTGGTGTTTTGAGACAGGGTCTCATTGTGTTTTAAGAGTTTGATTTGGGTAAAAATAAATACAACCATTTTATAGAAGCCCCCCTCCCACCTCCATGGCTTTATGTTCCACGGTTTCAGGTCCCAGGTTCATTATAGTTAATATATATATAATATATATATATATATATATTATATATATATATAATCAATGGAAGATGATGTGTCCTGAGATAAAGAGGGGGGAGAGGGAAGGACGGCAAGCATGCATCCATACAGATTTATAAATTAGCAGAGACAACAGGCTGACAAACACTATGACCCCAAAGGAACCTAGGAAGTTCCAATTTGTTGTGTTTTTAAAATTACATTTATTTGTGTAAACATGGAGGTCAGAGGACACCATGCAAGAGCCAGTTCCCTCCGTCCACTGTGTTTGTCCTTGGGATTGAACTCAGGTAGTCAGGTTCAGGCCTCTACACACTAAAGTATCTCACTGGCTCAGGAGGCCCAGTCTGTAACATGCCTGCCTTCTCCAGCCTGGATCTCCATTCTCCACTAATCCTCTGGCACTGGTTCTGCTATGGTCCCCTTATGCCTCCAGCCTGGTGTCCGCAGGGGGAGCTGCAGGCAGGGGACAGGGAACACAGGCAGAGTGGAACACGTTGATGCATCAGAAGAGCCAACATGGCCCTTTCTGCCTGTCAGCCTGGGCAGGAGAACAGGTGTCCAAACAGGATCCAGTAACTTAGGGAGGGGCTAGTAGGGGTGGGAAGGAAGCATGTTGGTTTTGGACATGAGAAGGGGACAGCTTAGATCAGGTGACTGCTATCACCTGGGAGAGTAGACCCAGAGGATGGATCATAGAAGTCCCTTCCCACAGTAAGCCAGGCCTTCACCACCCCAGACATGGCCAGGTACAGCCTCCCGACTGATCCCACACTTCCCATCCTGTCCATTCATCAGCATCTTCTTCCAGGTCTGCCTTTTTAGGGATGGCCATTATATCCGGAAGTCATGGCCACAGTACTTTCACCCAGTCTCACAGAACTGTAGGTGAAGGAGTTTGGAGATTACTTTTACCCTGCCTGTAATCCCTGGAGTGGGAACTTGTAATCATTCTTGACAATGGCTCCCCAGGCTTTCTCAGCCAGCAGCCCTGTAAGGTTCCCACTCCTCCTCCATGGCCAGGCCAGGGCTGGAAGGCTCTTAAGTTCTTTAATGGTGTCAGCACCCATCTAGCCCCGGTATCTCACTGGCCCAGGTTCTCTAGTAGGAACCAGCTGAAGAAAGTTTTCCTCCTTGGACTGGCAAGATGGTTCAGTGGATAAAGGTTTTTGTCACAAAGTCTGAATCCCTGAATTTGATCTCCATGATCTAGTGTGGTAAAAAGGAATAGCTGGCTCCTGAAAGTTGTCTTTGGGCTTTTGTGCACCCCTGTGAGCATACATACACATGCACACAAAATAAGTAGACAAAATATAATCAAAAGCTGGGAGTGGTGGTCCAGACCTTTAGTCCCAGCACTTGGGAGGCAGGGGTAGGCAGATCTCTGTGAGTCTGAGGCTAGTCTGGTCTGCATAGAGTTCCAGGCCAGCCAGGGATACATAGTCTCTGTCTAAAAACAAATAATAATAATAATAATAATAATAAATATATATATTTTTTGGTTTTTCGAGACAGGGTTTCTCTGTGTAGCTTTGCGCCTTTTCCTGGAACTCACTTGGTAGCCCAGGCTGGCCTCGAACTCACAGAGATCCGCCTGGCTCTGCCTCCCGAGTGCTGGGATTAAAGGCGTGCGCCACCACCGCCTGGCAATAATAATAATTTTTAAAGAAACTTTCTTTCCTCCTGTGACATGACTTTTTCCCTAGTCTGCCTCTCCTCAAGGGCCTTTTTGCCAACCTCAGGCAACCTCATCTCCATTGTGATTTGTTAGACACTTCTTCCAGAGGGTTCTTGAAGCAAGGCTCCAGACTCTTCAGGGCAGAAAGGGACTTTGGAACTTAGGATCCACCCATTTTATAGATGAGGAGACTGAGAGATTGCCTAAGGTCTCACAGATGGAGAGGGCTGAACCAGCCCTGCCTCTTGATTAAGGCCCTGCTCTTTCCCTGCAACCCTCTGACCTTGGTGACCAGCTGGACGTGGAAGGAGAAGGAGGCATTCAGAGCTGGGGCAGCAATGCTCTCCATCCTGGTTTGTTTGCTTTCTGAGAGTCAGGCACAGCCTTCTGACTGATCCACACTTCCAGTCTTTTCTTTCCTTTCTGTCTGTTCACGAGCATTTCCGTCCAGCTCTGCCAACTTAGGAACGGCCATTGGACCTGGAAGTCATGACTTCCTTTCATGTCAAAGGACTGAATTTTACACTAATCCTGCTGACCAGGCTGGCCTCCAACTCCAGATCCTCCTGCCTCAGCCACCAAGTGTTGGGATTATGGGTGTGTGCCACTACATCCAGCTGAGACCACACTTCTAAGATTGCATTGTCTTTTTTTAGGGGGAGCCTACATCTCCTTATTAACAATAACAATTACTGAATTTTGCCTTACATGCACCATTATGTAGTTCTCTGCTAGCAGCGTGCGGGGACTTCTCGGCACAGGCTGCCAGGTCAGGCTAGGTGATGCTAATCTGATCCTACTCCTAGTTGTGAGACTCCCCTTTACTGGGATTGGGGACAATGACAGAATCTAACTGAGGCTTCCTGGAGTCAGGTAAGGTCATCTGTGCAAAGTACTTCCTGTGCCAGGGACCAACAAGTGCTGTGTGTGGTCATCCCTAGGATCTTACTGGAAATGATACTTTGTGTCCATCTTTGGGGATGTGGTTACTTTCCATTTGGTCCAACCCTGACAAGTTTTTGGGAAGGGATTAGGATAAGTTCCCCAAGTATTTGTCCAGAGCTAGAAACCCTGAGCCCATATGGACCCTCAGTAGAAGACCTGAGCATTAGGCAGATGAAGAAATCCCAAGAGAGGCCCCCTGCCCCATCCCCTAGATCAAAACAGGCTGACTAGGGTCAGAGACACCAACCACCTGAGACCTAGCTCCATCCAGCTGGGGCAAGTCCCTTTTTATTGTTGTTATTTTGAGACTGGGCCTCACATCACCATCATACTTGTTGAGTAGCCGAGTCTGCCCTTCTGCCTCTGATCCACCTGAGTTGTTGGTGTGGTTGTGTTGTTGTTGTTGCTGCTGCTGCTGCTGCTGCCTGAGGAGATTACAGGTATACAACTGCCAGCTCTGGGTAGGGCAGGGTCTCACTATGTAATCCTGGCTAGCCTAGAATTTGATCTGTAGATGAGGCTAGCCTCAAACTCAAAGACCCACCTGCCTCTCTGTCTCCTGAGTGCTAGGATTAAAGGGTTTGTCACCATGCCCAGCTTAGGTCAGGTCTTGACATCAACCCAGGTGGCTAAGAACAAAAAAGGCATGGCAAGAAGCAACAATTGTTTTAATGAACTTCTCTGCATGAGAGAAAATGAGGTCCAAGAGGAAAACACAAACAAACCCCCAGAGATACAGAAAATAGCAGTTCTCTGACTTACTAGTTGAATCGAAGGTTGTAAAACAAGCTTATAGTGGCCTCCGGCAGGCTTCAAGACAGAGATGGAAACACAGTGAGTCTTACATTTGAGAACTTAAGAGGATAAGCAGCCCAGACAAAAAACGAAGCAAGTCTCCATATCAGTCTACACTCCATCCAGAGATGGTCTAAGAAGATTCTGTCCTCCTGAGTGAGTCTGAGGCTGGGGCCAGATCCTGGGTTTGTGCACGTACTGCCCCAGGAAGGTAGGGGAGATTGTACTATGTTTGGCATCCAGGGCCTTCCCAGCTGTCATGTTCTGGGCCTGTCTTGTGGGTCTGACTCTCATTCTCTGCAGGTTGCCTTAACTCCTTGGACCCATGAGACACATACCCTTTTGACCTACAACCCTTTTCTGGTCTCAGCAGGATAACCAAACACACCAGTGGACAAAGACCCACTCCCTCAGAGGAACCACTCAGTCCACAGGCATTTGGAAAACAGAAAACAACAGAGATGCTTTATTAACCATCAGACAGGCTCCCTCTCAAAGTTTCTGGTATGTGGATTATTATTGTCTCAAATTTTGCTGCTGCTCAAGAATTTTTGACTTGGCCAGGAAAAAACTCAGACTCCCAGCCTGTTCCTGGCCTTGTCTTAGTACTTTAGATGGTGGACTTGGAGTTGGTGTCAAAAAATTACCAGCCCATATGGTTGAAGTAGGACCAGCCTTAGCCACACCCAGTCAGCTGTCATCAGGCTTACCAGGAAAACTGGGGCCTGGAGAAGCATGTGGAAGGAGGTGATGCCAGGGAAGGAAGAGAGAGAGGTGAGGCACTGTCCAGGGGCAGGGCAAGAGGAACAATGCATCTTCTGGGCAGGGCAGGAAGGTCTTTAATGGAACAGCTCAGAGAACAGGGTGAGTCTGCATTACCACCCCCAGAACTAAGGCACAGAGGAGGTTTGAAATGTCCAGGATAAATAGAATCAATAGGGTTGGAGAAAAAGCCAGCTCCATCCCTTTTAAAAAACAGTCTTACTGTGGGCACCAAAAATATATTAATATCTGTACATTTGTCATCTTTAAAAAAAGGACTAGAACCTCCTTGGCACCTCGTGGTTGGTCTCTTAAGAATGAGGTGATATGGAAGGCCGTGGGTGCACATGTGACTAAGTCACACATAAAGCAGTGTGACACACACACACACACACACACACAAGCACCAACATGGCTGTACACATGTGGTCCTCTGATGAAAGGGCAGAGCCCTTGGAACCCTGAGAATTAGCCCTGCAGGCATGTGAGCCTCTGCCAGCCTTGCTGCCACAGTAGTCTGCAGGGATGCTCTTTGCTGGTGTCTTGGCTCTGCGGTCCATGGGGCTCCATTGCCCATCTTGTACTCAGGCTCCCCCTCAACACATGTCCAGAGTTCTGCTGCAAGGAAGCAGGGCCTGTCTCTCTAAGCAGCTGTTTTTAATCACTTGGCCTCACCCCTGCACAAACACAGGCACCCATCGTCTCAAGCTCAGGACTCTGTCTGTAAGACAGACTTCCAAAAGTGAGCAGAAGTCAGTGCCTGAGTGCGTAGGTGTGCCTAGCATGAGGCGTTAGGGCTCTGGTCCTGTTCACTGGTGTTCTGGCAAGAGGCTGCAGGAAGGTGAACCAGCTAGGCAGCAGGGAGGTAAACCTGGTCCTTCCTGGGGCCTGTGCTGCTCAGAGGTGGGGGCTGCCCTGCAGCAGGGAAGTGACAGTGTTCTGCAGGGCCACAGCCACTTTCTTGGAGGTCTTGCGTAGCAGTGGGCTGTCGGGGTGGTTTTCCTTGAGGTGCAGGACATGACCCTCCTGACTCTCAGATGTGCAGCCACACTCTTCACACACATAGAGCTTGGCCCGGCGCTCCTTGTACGCATACTTCTGCTGCACGCCATGGATCTTCTTGAGGTGAGACTCAAGAGAGCAGCGCTGGGTGAAGGCCTTGTCACACAGGCTGCACTTGTAGGGCCGCACACCTGAGGACAACAGGGGTCAGCATCAGGGCCTGACAGGGACTGTGGAGCCTGTCTGGAGCATCCACACACAGAAAGGTCAGGTCACCTGACTGCTGAGTAACCAACAAATGACTTTGGAATTGAGTCCTTGCTTATGAATCCAGGACTCTGCCCTAAGCTTGGGGATGTGCCTCCCAGGTCCCAGGCAGGTCTGAGGCATTCCTTCTGCACACAGACTTTACTTACCAGTGTGGGTTCTGACGTGTCTCTTGAGGTCAAAGGTGTCATTGAAGCCCTTCCCACAGTACGTGCACAGGTGCCTTTTGACATCGTTGTGACATTTCATGTGTCGATTCAGCATGCGCTGGTAAGTGAAGGCCTTCTGGCAGATGTGACAGGTGAAAAGGTCTCCGTTCGGACTGTCCCCCAAGGTCACCTGTGGGTGAGGAAGGTATCTAGAAATCAGGGCTATAGGCTGGCAGATCTGCCAGCCCCTTCCGGCCCCACAACACTAAAGAAAAGCAGGCCCACCCTCCAGAGGCCATAGCCTGTGCTATTTGCTAAGAGGAGCTGCAAAGAATCTCTGGGTATTGGCCCTGTTTCCTGTTGGGTCCCCAAAATCCCTTTTGAGGCTGTCACCTTGAATTTCCCATCCTCCTGCCTTTACCTCCCAAGTGCTGGGGTTACAAGAGTGTGCCATTCTACCTGGTCTCCATGGGGCTGAGGGTTGGACTCAGGGTTTTGTGTATGTAAGGCAAGCACTCTACCCGCCGAGCTAGATCTTCAGCCTTAGAAACAGTTTTCTTGCTTTTTTATAGAATTGTTTATTTTATGTTTATGGGTGTTTTGCCTGCATGCATATGTCATGTCTGCATCACATGCTTGCCCCGTGCCCACAGTGACCAGAAGATGTCTTATCCCTTGGAACTGGAGTTACAGACAGCTGTGAGGAGCCATGTGGGTGCTGGGAATTGAACCCGGGTCCTCTGGACAAGGACTGGAAGACTGACGATCCATTTCTCCAGCTCCATCTTTTTTTTTAAATTATGGAAACTTTCAAATGTATGCAATGGTGGAAAGACTAATGTCATGGCCCTTGCCCGTTGCTCAATGAAGGTCTTACTCCATCTCTATCACCCTCCTGCTCCTTGTCTGGGCCATGTGACACACCCTGGTGGCACCACCAGACACTGTTTAGAGTAGCTGCGGCAGCATTCTAGGCGTGACTACAAAGGTGTGGCTGAGTGGCCAGTTCTCTTCCCTAACTCTGTTCACATACAGTGACTGTCCGGGCTCTGTCAGGGGCCTGCCACTAGCCATTCCTCCTGAGATCCTGGGCATCTGTCACACCACACTTCCATTTGGTACCCCTCCCTCTTTGGAACAGGACCTGGTCCTCTGTCTCCTGTGCTGTCCTGTCCTGTGTTCTGCTCTCCCTACCTGTAGGAGTCTGAGGTGTAGAGGAAAGGCTGGCAAGGAGGATGAGGGATGCTTTAAAGATCAGGAGAGTCCTAGTGTCGGGCTGTGGCCAATCATAGCCTCCCTTCTCCCATTATCTACCCCTGGCCTTTGCAGGTAGGAAGGGAAGGGACAGAACTCTCCTTCCAGCCATATCTAGGCTTTTGACATGAGGGATGGCCCCAGAGAAACACCCTTGCGCTAGATCTCGCTGGCAGGTGCTCCCAGGCCCTGGGGCTTTGGGAGTGTCCACCCAGCCAGGGCAGCTGGCTGCTTCCTCTCCTCTGTCACAAGCCATCTGTACTGCCTCATGTGGTGCTACTGAGCGTGAGTGAGGGTGGGGTAGGGGATGCTCCTGCCCTGTGCACACCCCACTCACTGCCATATGCTCTAAGGAACAGCTAACTCACCCACTGATCCGGACTTCTTGCTCCATGCAGCCCATATAGGTCTCTGCAAGAAACAACTGGGCCTGGTTCTAGCTAGCTTTGTCACCTTGAGACTTTATGTGAAGGGGTGGCTCTTTAGCTCTCTTGTCTTTTGTGGCCAGAAATGGGATTGGAACACTCGCTGGTACAGACTCCAAAGGGTTAGATGATCTCACTTCCTATCTGCTTCTTTCCTCGGTGTGCTTCAGCTAAGTGAGTCTCTGTAAAAGTCGCAGTCCAGGTCCCCTGTGTCATATCTGTGCCCCAGATCTGTCTCTATACATGCCCCTGGACCTCAAGACAGAATGAAAGTTATTACCTTCATCTTGGTCCGTAGGAAACCCTGGTCTCTGCTCTGGGGATCTGTCAGATGGCTCACATCTTCAGGGGGTAGCTGGGCCACCACGCAGGGCCCTGGGGCCACACTATAGCTGGAGTCCCGAAGGCTCATGTCCAAAGCCAGAGGGCAAGGAGGGGGTTCGGCCACGGATGGCTCTGGTTCCCGGTAGGGTGGTGGTGGGCAGAAGCCCAGGCTGACTGCAGAGAGAAGAGCAGCAGATGAGGGTGGGTGGGAAAAGATCCACTGCAGCTCCAGGAAGATCCCCAAGCAAGAAGGCTGGGATCTGTAGCCTCCACTCCTCCTGCTGCAGGCCTGTGGTAGAGCAGGGCGGGCCCCAGGCCATCAGATGCTGCACCTCCCTCCTGCCCCATTAAGGTAATTACAGGTGACGCCAGCCAAGAGCCACTGCCCCCTGAGTAACTTCTCTTAGCGGAACTGGGAGGACTGAGCTGCCCTGCCAATTATGCTGCACAGTGTCTGCCTGCCCCACCTGGGCCAGTTGCTCTGGATTCCAGAATGCCCTTACTCCTCTAGGGACAAAGGGCACCGCTGGAGGCCCTGGTCAGTCAAAGCTCCTTCAGACTCATTCTAGTCCTTGAAGGGTCCTTGGCAGTCTAGACCCTTTTGGGCCTCCCCTATGGGCAGACCTTTGGGGTTTGGGTGGTCCTAGCCTTTCCTCCTCTGACCTGACCAATCCCTGTTACTGTAGCCCATCAGGACTCCTGGGCTGAGGCTGGGCACAGCTCTGTCAGCAAAGAGGCCAGGTGGGTGGAGAGGGAGGAGGCCAGGGAGCAGCAGGTGGATGCTCGTAACAGTCAGTCTCTGGGCGCCCTGCCCAGCGCTTACACAACCCTCCCCCACTGCGGACCGCTCACTGTGGCAGTCAGGCTGGGCGCCCTCCGGCAATGCAGTGGCATCACCGATACCTGGCAGCCCTTTGACAAGGCCGCTCCCCTCAACAAACACCGTGAACTAAACGGGCCAGGCCTACAAGGCTGGGCTGGGACCCTGAGCCCCAGTCCTTATAGGACAAAAACAGGCAGAGAGTCTCAAGGCCAACAGAACTGGGACAAGAAGTATAATTTTCCAATTAGTCAATACAACCTAAGCTCTGTACTTAAAAACCTATAAATTAGTAAGTTTCCTAGTTTCAGAAGGAAAAGTCAAGACGGGGGGCTGGTACAGAAAGGATGATGAATCCAACCAACTCAGGATAGGATAAGATTTCAGGGCCTCAAGCTAGGGCCTCTGAGTAGTGTATTCCAAGCCAGAGATGTGAATGGAGGGCAAGGACCCAGGCTTGGGCTATCACCCTCACCTCTTCTGGGGGACCGCCAGGACTGTGGGGGAAGGTAAATATAAAAGTACTTGAGTTTCGGGAGAGGCCCAATTCTCGCCCCCTCAAAACACAACAAAGGTCTGACAGAGGAAGAATGCGCCTGCCTGCCGCCCAGAACCCGTTCTTCTAGCGCTGGCGTCCGTCTGTCCAGGGGGTGGGGGGACCTTAATGAGCCACCTCATTCCAGGAGTTGATTCACTAGCGCCTGGCCCTGGCCTGGCACCTGAGCTGGCATACCACCTCTCTCTGCGCTGTGCTGACTGGTGTCGGCCTCAGGCTGTGAGTCCAGCCTTCAGAGACCGGTCTGCCTATAGAGGGACCTGTGTGACACCCAGGACGAGGACAGCAGAGTGGGGTAGAGCAGTGGAGGCTCTGGTGCGGACTCACCAGACACACCCTGGCTGAAAGTCCAAAACTAGATGACAGCTCCCGTTTCTCAACCCAAGCAGAGAAAAACAGACACCTCTACCACTCATTCTGTTACTTTGGGTTGGTGTGAGTGCGGCTTCTGAACGCCAGCCCGGCCACCCGGCCACCCGGCCACCCGGCCACCGGGCCTGGGTGGAGGATCAGCCGAGGGTAGAGTGACAGCCTGGCAGGTGAGCTGTCACACTTGGCTCCTTGGCTCTATGGAGGAAAGGCTGAGCTAGGAGTCTAAGGACGGCAGTCCATTGTAGAGGACAAGCCCTTACCCTTCTGTGTCCTACACAAACCTGGAAAGGCTGCTAGGGACAGCAGACAGGACAGAACTGGCTAGATGGGCACTCCATGCTGCCTCTACCCTGAGCAAAGGGCCAATAAGACTGCCAGGGTGGGGATGTTTGCCTCAACTTACCCACCCCACCAAACCTGTCTCCCTGCCACCCCCACAAGTGTGTGTCTCCCAGGACACTCCGCACGCACAGGGAGTGTCCACTGGCATGCTGTCTGCCTATCCTGAGTGCCACTGAACGGCAGGAGGCAAGACTGGTTGGGCCTTGCTGGTGCCCCTCTCTGTCCCCTAATTAGATGTTTCCTGCAAGGCAGTGGCCGCTGTGGCTGCTACTCATTGCCTCCGCCCACAGCCACCGAGTGTGGCCAGGCCAACCCAGCTAGCCCTCTCCCTCCTCCCTCGGGAGCTGGTAAGTTCTCTCCTATTGCCTTTACCCGATGTTACAGAGCTGGCCTGGAGCAGCAGACCAGATTTGAAAAGGCTGCCCATCCACGGGCCATCTCCTACCTTCCCCTCTACAGGTCTCCTTTCTTTCAGTCACTGGCCCAAATACCAGGCAGATTGCCAGGTCCTAGCCCATAAAAGGTCTCAAGACAGGGCTGCCCATAGGCCTGATCCCCAGCTTTCTGGGGAGAGCAGGTTAAGCTGATGTGTGGATGCCTGAAATTTTGGGTCCCCAGCTGACCATACAGGTGCTGGTGTGTGTGTGTGTGTGTGTGTGTGTGTGTGTATCAACTCTGTTCTGAATGTGGGTCTGCACACCTCAGGCTGGCTTTAGGCTGCCTTTTTACACTGATTGGGAAGGGCTGGGTCCCTTGTGTTCAGCTCCCTTAGTCCTGCGGGTCAGCTAGCCATCACCTGAAAGGAGCAGCGGCAGCCCGCTGGCAGATGCTGCTGTGCCAGAGCATCACAGGCCTGTCTCTTAGCCTTCTGTTGCCCTTCTGTGGGATGTTGGTGTTCTCAAGGCAGGAGCTGTCTGTCTCCTTCCCAACTGCTTCCCTTCCGTTCGGTGTCTGTGCTGAAGTTAGACTCCGCTCTTGGCCCTCGTCCGGGGCCTGGCCCTGAGCGGACGAGAGCTGTACTTGCTGCCGCATCCTTCACCCGCTCACTCAGCGTAGACTGGGCTCCACCTGCCTCTCAGACGCTGTGCGCTGGAAATGGACCATGCCACATGCACCAACAGTGGCTAAGCTGTGCTCCCTGTCCTCCCCAGCCTCAAGCACTGTCCTCACCGCCTTTTCTGGGACAGTGTAGCAGCTTCTGCCCTAGGACATCCAAGCCTGGGCAGCTTGGGTGACAGTGTCCCCTGAGACAGGTGAGAGTCGCTTCTCCAGCTGCTCTTCTCTCCATGTCCTGGCTAGCCGACCTCTTCATGCCCAGTACTCTCAGCAGTGGCTAGAACACTCCTGAAAGAAACTCCCCCTTCCCGCACATGCTAAATGACCTGGGAGCACACAGCTGACTTTTCAGCCAGTCCTACTCAGCCTGGCAGATCTCTGAGTTCAAGACCAGCCTGGTCTACAAAATTGTACCAGCACAGCCAGGGCTACACAGAGAAACGCTGTCTCAAAAAACAACAAAAAAATGCCCAGCTTGGTGACAAACAGATCTCTGTGAGTTAGAGGCCAGCCTGGTCTACATAACATAGTGAGTTCCAGGACAGCCAGAGTTACACAGTGAGACCCTGTCTCAAACAGCAATAATGACAAGTTGGCCAAGTCCCTCTGCCATCTAGAGCAGTGTCAGGCTGGGCCATGTTATCTGGAGGAATACCAGGGGCTCCTGGAGGACCCGGTCTTCAGCATGTTTGTTTGTTTCTTTGAGACAAGGTCTCAGATGGCCTCAAATTTGTTATATGTCTGAGGTTGGCCTTGAACTCCAGATCTTCCTGCTTGCTCCATCCAAGTGCCGAGATTACAGGTGTGTACTGTATGTAGCTTTTGAGCTTTGGACATGTGCTGCCAGAACAGACCAACAAGCCAGACTATTCCTGGAGGCGAGGCTTGGAAGTGGGGTACCTCAGAGCCTGAAAGAGGCTCCTGGAATTCTCCTGGAGTTCCAGTTTTCAGGCTCAATCTGTCCCCAGGTCCCTTCCTGACTAACTCACTCAGCAAGGACCAGCTCTAGAGGAACTGTCCCACAGCAGTTCCCTGAGCCCTTCCATAGTGCAGGAGTGGAATTTACCTCCAGCTACAGCCACCTGCTTCATCCTTCCCCGTCACCACGGTAAACACAACCAAACAGAGACTCCTGTGCCAGGAGAGATGGTGGACGGTGGGGAGAAGCCAAGTGAACCCCAAACTCTGCTGTCTTCGGTAGGGAGTGGATCATCTCCTCACTTGCCTGTCTTCCATTGCAGGCTCCCAGCCCCCAGCTGTGTCCTCAGCAAAGCTGAAGGAGTGACTCTGCCCTGGGAGAAGACTCTCTGGAAGCTTGTGTCAGAGGAAGGCTGAAGTGATGACTGTCAAGTGCAGTTCCTAGGTCAGGCCCACAACACAACACCCTCAGTGTATGGTAAACCTTCCCCTCCAGGTGGTCTCCATGATACTTTGAGGGTCTTAGAAATCCCTGGCGGGAAGGTCAGAACTCGCACACTCCCATGTTCCCCAGCCCTCCCACTGGGAATGGGGTCATTGCTTAGCTGGTCAAACCGTGCCCCAAGAGTCTGTGAGGTAGGGTGACAGAAACGTGCCTAGCCGGCTCCTGGGGTCATGGCTGGCTGGTGATGGAATGGTTCAGCCAGGAGACAAAACACACCCCTTGCACTCCAGCCTTCTGAGGCATCCAAGCGTAGACTGAGGCCATTCCTTTTTTATTTCCAGAACTGTGGGAAAGACTGTGGCTCCAGTAGGCCACCTAACTTACAGGAGGGCACTGAGTCCTGTAACTTCTACCCACAGGCCTTTCTCTTCATTCAACCAATGAGGGAAAATCTTCCAAGAGCTTATTTCCCACCCCAGGCAATCCTGAGAGACGGAACAACTGCCTGCGTGTCTCCTCATCAGGACAGCAGTAGTAGGTGGCGGCGACCACAGAGGCCCCCTATCTACTCGATGGGACAGGCTGTGGGACCAGGTCTCTGGTCTTGTGTCCCTCATATCTGTTCTGGAAAAACATCTAGAACCCTAGGAAGTCTTAATGATTTGAACAAGCAGAATATCTTTGTCCTCTGTGAAAGTCAACATATGATCTGTTACTGATTGGGATGTGAAATAAAACTAAAAATAACAGCACTCTAGCCTGGCTCAGACACAGCTCACCTTTAGCACAGTCCAAGTTCAGTTTATCAGATCCCAAGGAGCAGCTGAGCAGCAAGTCAAACACAGGCTGGAGAGGAGGCTGGAGCAAGGAAGGGGGCTGTGTCCCTCACTGGCCCTTCCGGAGGTGGAGCACTGGACACTTGGCCAGAACACTTAGCCAGGCAGAAATCACAAAACCCCAAGCCCACACCGCAGGTGAGGAGGCACCCTCCCCTTTTGCCTCCTGTTTCCCCACACTGGGGATTCTAGGGCCTTCTGGCCCGTTCCCTTGTTTAAGAAGCCTTCAGAACAGCCTTACAGCTCCTCGAGATAAGGGTAAAACTTCCTACCACCACTGGATCCTGGCAGGTCTCGCCCAAAACACCCACTTACACCCAAGACACCTACAGCTTATTCAAGAGAGAAATTGAGGCATGAACCCACACAGGGTCCCTCCCTCACCACCCTCATTTCCCCCACTTTCTTAAAAGCCTGGGTGGTGCCAGAGAGCCTGCTGATCAAGGGTCAAAGTCGGTTGGTTAATTACCACACTCCCCCCCCCCTTGGAGGCTCAGGGTAGTGCGCTCCTGCCCCACCCCCAAGGCGGGGGAGCAGGAGTTGAGAAGGCGCTTGCCTCCCGACCTAGGATTTTTGTATCAGGAGCTGAAGTGTCCTAGGGCTCCAGGAAGATGCAGCTGGAGGAAGTTGATGCCAAGGCTGTCAAGGCGTCTTCCCTAAATAAACTAGGTACACCAGCTTCCTGGAGTATGTACCGTAGGTGTGGGGTGGGCTCCAGAACCATCTTTGGCTTAGGGTCCTCTGCAAGGGTGAACAGAGGTGGGACCCAACACCACCTTGTCTCAAGGGCAAGCAAGGTGCATCAGGTGTATTTCTCAGCAGCTCCTGGACCATCAGGCTGGAGGCCAGGGAAACTCGGTGACCCTGAACCTCATCTCTCTTATCTTAACCCGAGCAGTTTTGTGGGGTCGACTAAAGCTCCAAGTTTTCCCTTACAATGTAGCCCAAGTCTCAGCGGAAACTCCAGCTCCTTTCCAGTCCCCCGCCCTCCCCTTCGAGGTGGCATCGCTCCAGTGCTCCTCTCCTGCCTCATGAAAGTCCAGGTTTTCTGGATTTACGACGCGAGAGCGGAGGGGGTGGTGGGGGTGTCCTCTGAGCGGTGACACACCCCGCTGCGTCCCCTGCGACGCGGCGCGGGCGTGCGATCCCGAGCCTGAGAGTGGCGGAGCCTCGGCTTGGGGCCCCTTCCCCCCGACCCGCGCTCCTCCCGCGCCGGGCTTCGGCCTGCGGCGGCGATCCGCGTCCCCCACGCGCCTCTGACCGGCGCCGACCGCTCGTCCGTGCGCCCCGCCCTCCCGGCGCCGGGAGCCCGCGGTGCCTCACCTGGCACGTAGATCTCGCCGCGCTCCTCGTCCGGGAGTTCGCTCCAGTTCCTCTTGCACGTGGAGACGCATGGCTTCTTCACCAGGAACGCACGGGGCATCTTCGATCCCTGCTGGCCCGGCGCGCTTCGCTCCCGTGAGTCGAGTCCGGGTGGTCGTCCCACCTTTTCGGGGCTGAGGCGCGGGAATGGGGACAGTTCAAGAAAGGAGTCGCCGAGGCGTGCCCACGTTCTGAGGAAAAAGAGTACCAGGGACCGCGCGTGGCACTTCCAACTCCGCCGAAGGTCGCCGGTGCCCGCAGAGCGGGTGCAGCCAGGTGCACCCGGATCGAGAAGCGCCCAGTGAGCGTCCCTTGGCTCGACTGGCGTCCCTGCGGCCGCTTGCGATGTCTTCAAGTGCGAGCTGGACGGACGGGTTCACGCTTTATTGGCTCGCGGCTGTGTGTGTTGGTGGCTCGGGCGGGGGTGGGGTGGGGGTGTTGATCTGATCTAATTAGCTTGGAGTGGCCAGGAGAGCGATGGCGCATGCGTTGGGAAATAACGGTGACAACCCACCTATTTGTTACCTGTCGAACCGGTTTCCATTCCGCTGCGGGTGAGGTGGCCTCGCGGCCCGGGCGGGGCGGTTCGTCGGGGGTGGGAGGGGGGACGGCCCGACGGGGGTGAGAGGGGGGGCGGGCTCCGGTCCCCCCACCCAACAGCACTCGGCCCGCCCCGGACCTGCCCTGCCCGGCGTGCTCAGGTTTGCAAACTAGAGTTTCGGAGGGAGCAGGCACCGGAAAGAAGGGAGGGCAACGTTATGTGCACCGGCGCTCGCACGCTCCGTGGGCGATGACATAAAACTCGCCCAACAGGCCCGGGCCCAGCCTGACGCGCCTGGGGCGCCCGGAGAGGTACAAAGCCGCCAGGCGGGAACCCAGCGGCCCTGGATCCCCAAGGCCAGGCTGAGCAATTCTTGGTTCAGCACAGAGGTATTTGCTGGGCACCGGCTTCCTGCGGGAAGGCACGCAAGGCAGCAGGAACGCGTGGACCCGGAGGCTCGGACGCGCCTGCAAATCCAAAGCTCGAGCCTGCCTTCCGGTTGTGCGGGCGTTTAAACTGCCCTGAGTCCAACTTAATTGAGGCCAGCGCCTTGGCATATAGGCGGACGCATTCGCCCAAACTCTCCTGATCATAAGTAGCCAGATTTCGGATTCCGGAAATCTGCAAAAGACCAGAGGGTGAGGACCCCAGCTGAGGTCTGACCCAGTCCTCTTTAGCCTGTTGCAGCCAGTACCCTCCCTGGGTGGGAACTTAGCAAGCAACTACTCTCCATCCACCCTGCCGTATTCTTCAGCAGGCCCAGTTGGAATGATGCCCCACCCCTGTTGAACTGCCCGGGAGTGTTCCGTGGCCTTCATGAACCACTTCACTGTGACACTTGGGCCGTGGCTGGGTTTCTTTTACTGGCTGACCTATTAAAGGCAGGAACAGAACCTGCAGTTAAAGGCTGCTAACATTTTAGACTCCAGACCTCAGTACGCCTTTCTCGCATGGTGTTCAATGTTTTCGGGAACAGATTGTGAGGGAAATTAGTCTGATAAATGAATTCACACAGTTCAAAAGTCAGGAGTCACAGGTCGTAATCCAGCACGTGGGAAGCTGAGACAGGAAAGCTGAGCGTCAGAGGCCAGCCTAAGTGTCCTCGTCAAATCCTATCTCAAAAGCAAAACGAGAGTCCAAAGAGACGAAGGCTCGACTCCCAGGACCCGTGGTGGAAAGAGAAAACTGACCCCACAGGCACACTGTGGAACTGGCACACTGTGCAGGCACACTGTGGAACTGGTGCCATGCACACATCTGCACAATGAAAGCAAAAAGGAGAGGAAGTGGTTAGGGTGGGCTCAAAGGCATTCAGAGGCCATTTCCAAAGTGGGACTACTTGGAGAGACCCTGTGCATTTCCCAGGATCTCTGTGAAGATGAATGGATGAGGGAGACACACCAGCCTCCTCCTCACTGAGTAGGAAGTAGTTTGACTCTCTTCCTGTAGAATCCTGTCATCTACCTCACTGGGTTACTGGGAAAGCGCTGTAGCTTTTCTGAGGAGCCATTAAGGTTTACCGCTTCCCCTTGCTGTCTCTGGAGAGCTGTCTACCATAGTCCACTCTGCTCTGCTCTTGGACCTTGCTCTTCAACTGACACTAAGTGAGCACCTACTGTATGCTTATCTTTAGTAATAAACCCTGGGGCAGCAACATGGATTGTCTAGGAGGCAGCTGAATTCGGCTTCTCTCTCTCTCTCTCTCTCTCTCTCTCTCTCTCTCTCTCTCTTTGCTTTTTTGAGACAGGGTTTCTCCGTGTAGCTCTGGCTGTCCTGGAACTTGCTCTGTAGACCAGGTGGCCTTGAACTCAGAGATCCACCTGCCTCTGCCTCCCGAGTGCTGGCATGAAAAGTGTGTGCCACCATGCCCAACTTGGCTCACTTCACAGCCTGTCTGTCTTGCTTTCTTTTCCCCTCAGTGAAACCCATTACTTTTTTTTTTTTTTTTTTGGAGACAGGGTCTTTCTATGTATTGTTGTCTGTCTGTCCTGGGACTTTCTATGTAGGCCAGGCAGGCCTTGAGCTCACAGAGATCTGCCTGCCTCTGCCTCCTGAGTGCCCAGGTTCCACAGTATTTCTTGAGCTCCTTTGTAGTGCCGGTCCGACAAGCTGGTCCCAGTGAGTGCCAGGAGAGCCTACGGTGAAGTCTTCACGGGGGACCCTGGACACAAAGCTAGGCTTTCTCATCAGAGAGCAGTTTGGATGTCCAGGAAGCCAGGTGGAGAGCTTAAATGGGTGAGGCCCGCCAGCTGAGTGTCTCTACTGGTACAGAGTCATCGTGAGCAGGGCGAGGTCCAGGAGAGATGCATCTGTGCCCATCTGTCTGCTGCTGCAGCCCCAGTCGGGTCTCGGCCTTTACATATTTCCTTATTTTCTTTCTTTCTTTCTTTCTTTCTTTCTTTCTTTCTTTCTTTCTTTCTTTCTTTTTTTCCTTCAAGACAGGATTTCTCTGTGTAGCTTTGGAGCCTGTCCTGGAACTCACTTTGTAGACCAGGCTGGTCTCGAACTCACAGAGATCCACCTGCCTCTGCCTCCCGAGTGCTGGAATTAAAGGCGTGTGCCACCACTACCCAGCTTTTTACTTCTTTTATGTGTATGAGTGTGTTGCCTGCATATATGTGTCTGTGTATCACATGCATGCCTGGTGCTTGAGGAGGCCAGATGTACTGGGACTGGAGTTGCAAGCAGTGCTGAGTGGCTATGTGGGTGCTGGGAACTGATCTCAGATCCTTTGGAACAGCAACAGGTGCTCTTAACTGATGAGCCATCTCTACGGCTATTCCACTTTTTTTTTTTTTTGGTTTTTCGAGACAGGGTTTCTCTGCGTAGTTTTGCGCCTTTCCTGGAACTCACTTGGTAGTCCAGGCTGGCCTCAAACTCACAGAGATCCGCCTGGCTCTGCCTCCCGAGTGCTGGGATTAAAGGCGTGCGCCACCACCGCCCGGCTCTATTCCACTTTTTTTTTTTTTAAGAGAGTGTCTTTCCATCGACTGTGGTGGCGCACACCTTTAATCCCAGCGTTTGGGAGTCAGAGGCAGGTTTATCTCTGTGAGTTCAAGACCATCCTGGTCTAAATAACGAGTTCCAGGGGAGCCAGGTTATGTAGAGAGACTGTCTCAAAAAGTAGAAAGTAAAAAAGATAGGGCCTCTCACTGGACCTGGAACTCATGGTTTCAGTAGCCTGGCTGAGCAATGAACTCAAGAGATTTTCCTGTCTCCATCCCCCAGCACAGGGTTACAGGTGCACATGGGTACTGGGGGTCCGAGTGCAGGTCCTCATGCTTGCTCAGCAAGCATCTACCCATTGAGCCAGATGCTAACCCGTAGAATAGGTCAAACAAAACACTCTTGTGGGTTTGCCTGTGAGCTTTGGGGTCATGGGCACCCTCTGGAGCTAGACAAGGTACGTGAACTTAGGTCTGAGCTAAGCACTGTGAGGAGACACTTCTACCCAGCCAACGTTCCTCTCTCTCTTAATTCAGCTCCCAGACAGTTCATGAGTGCCCTGTAGGTACTAGCTCTGGGGATTTTACAATGCAAGGCAAACAATAGGTACTGCAATATGGAGGGATTGATTAACTAGGGTGTTGCGATGGTGGCAGGTGGGGTTGCTGAGGTCTGAATGAGAGGTGGGAGCCGACTGGACAAAACGGCAAAGAGCATAAGCAGAAGGAAAAGCTGGGACCAAGGCCCATGGTAGAAAACCAATCTAGTGTGTGTGACTGTGGCAGCCGATGCGGGATGCTGGAAGGGAAGGAAGCTGAAGGTGGGTCATGAGGTGACCTGTGATGTGCTGAATGGAGTAGGGGCAGAGAGGTGGCAGGAAGGAGACCAGGGCTGTGTTGGAGCTACTGTAATGGTCCATGTAAGAATGGCAGGTTGAGTCACAGTGAAAACCAAGCCATGAGTCATGTGTCTTGAGTGACATCATCACCTGTTGGTGTAGAGGACACGAGGGTGAAGGGAAGAGGAGCCCCAGCAAGCAAGGACCATGATGTCCAATGCACGCTTTCTCAATATGGTGCTCAATTCCCATCCCAGTGAGGCTGAGGAGTTAGGAAGGGCATTGGGTAGTGGGCGAGTGTTCATAACTACTCCTTCCCGTTCTCATAGAAGTCCTTAGGAGGAGCCAGGATGGGAGGGAGATGGGGAAGAGTCCGTGAACCTGGAAACCTAAAGCACAAAGAATCATCATAGACACATGCTGAAAAGACACAGAATCCAGCTGCAGACGGTTAGTGCTGTGAATCTGGGCCAAGTCACCTACCCTCTAAGGGCCTCAGTTTCCCTAGCTATGACATCAGGCTCCTAGTTCTGGCTCTGACCTGTGGTAGTCAAGAGTTTGTGCAGAATTACCTTTGCCTAGGAGACAGCAGATCTGCAGTAGACAGCCCTTTGGAGCAGGCTGATGGGGTGCAGCCCCTTGAGCAGCTTTCCCTGAACTCCCTCAGCTAAGTCAGGTGTCCAACAGCCCAGGCCGGCCCTATCTCCCTATCTGGCTGAGGATAATGTTGTTTTTCCTGTCTCCATCTCCCTGTGTTGGGATTAGTAGCCTCTGCTACCATACCCTGCTAACCAGCAGCTCTTCCAGTCCGGTTTGGTAATAGGCCCCTAGAGGCTGCAAAGCTCCTGATTCGAGGCCACCCCTAGCTTTATGGCAAAAGGCTGGGGACCATAGGCAGGGGAGATGGTTTTTAACCACGGTCTGTGGAGTGGAGCTGGTTGCTCTTGGCAGGTACCAAAGAGTGGAGTGAAACTCCACCACAGTAGCCACAGGTCCCATCTGCTAGTTTTAGGCCAGCTCAGTCTCCACAGTCTTCCTGTCTCTGATGTTGGAGTCACCAGCCTCCAAGTGCCACAGCCCCACAGCCTCAGCCTCTCTCCTTCCCGACCCCTCTTGCTCTACTTACCACCGAGGCCAAGCCCCTGCCAGAGTTCACCTGCCCCTGGCTCCCTGCCAGCCCCACAACAAGCCATAGATGCTGTGAAAACCCATGCCCCCATCTCCCTTCAATAGAGAGAGCATCCCTGGCCCCGAGCGCCCTGTTCTAAGGACCTCTGCCTCCCTGCAGTTTCCCCGTGTGCCCAATACCCTGCCTTCCTCCACCCCAGCTCTCCACCGTCTCGGCTCAGCTTAGCCTCTTCTGCAACTACGCTTCTTCCTACCTGGGTTTCTAACAAATGTCCCTTCTTCCTAGAGCTGATGCCCCGGCTGAATCCTTGTCCCCGTTGTCACTTCTCCCCCTGGACTCTGTCTCTGTGTATTGTCTTTCACGATGACATTTTGTTCCGTTGGTCATCCTGCCAGCTCTGGGTTTTCTAGGACCTGTTTATTTGTATCTTTTATATTATTTTTGTATGTCTGCATGCATACTTCAGGGGTGTGTGTGTGTGTGTGTGTGTGTGTGTGTGTGTGTGTGTGCACGCGCGCGCACGTACAAGTATATAAAGACCAGGAATTGAAGTCAGGTGTCTCCTTCAGTAACTCCCCACACACGCTCTCTTCCTTGCTTCTCTTTCTCACTTTCTTTGTTTTTTTTTTTCATTTTAGACAGGGCCTCTCACTGAACCTGGAGCTCACTGATTGGCTAGACTGGCTAAGTTCCCAGGATCCTTTTGTTTCTGTCTCCCTAGCACTAGCGTCATAGACGCTCCCTGCCGCACTCAGCTTTCATATTTGTGCAGCAAGCCCCAGCCCTAAGGGATCCTATTTGCAACACCATTTTTTTTTGGGAGGGGGGTGGTTCGAGACAGGGTTTCTCTGTGTGGTTTTGGTGTCTTTCCTGGATCTCCTCTGTAGACCAGGCTGGCCTCGAACTCACAGAGATCCGCCTGGCTCTGCCTCCCGAGTGCTGGGATTAAAGGTGTGTGCCACCGCCGCCCGGCTATACCACCATTATTTAAATTATTTGACCATGCCGTGGTACTAGCCTTGTGCATGCTAAGCAAGCCCTTACTACCCTTTCTCCTGTTGCTTCCTGAGACAGGGTCTTGCTAAGCTGGCCTAGCCTAGTTGACCTCGATTTCTCTGTAGACAAATCTTCAGGTTTGGACCTTTCTGCCTCAGGTTCTTGAGTAGCTCTGATTGCAGGCTGGCAGTAACATCCTTTGGGGGTAGGTGGGTGGGGACAGCCTCACTATGTAGTCCTGGCCTGTCCGGAACTCATTATATAGATCAGGTTGGTCTGAAACTCACCGCTGCATCCTGAGTGCAGTGATTAAAGGTATGTACCACCATGGTCAACCCAACTAACACCATTTTAAATAGCTCTGTTATCATCCATGAACCACAACATTCATCCTCACAAAAATGTGTGGTTCGGGGGTTTTAGTCTCAGGGAGTTCTACGGCCATCACCCTAAGTCCAGAAGCTTTCTGTCTCAGGTAAGGTTCCTATTGCTTCGACGAAACACCATGACCAAAAGCAAGTTGGGGAGGAATGGGTTTATTTGGCTTACACTTCCATATTGTAGTCCATCACAAAAAGAAGTCAGGACAGGAACCTGGATGCAGAGGCCATGGAGGGGTGCTGCTTACTGGCTTGCTCCTCATGGCTCGCTCAGCCTGCTTTCTTATAGAATCCAGGACCACCAGCTCAGGGATGACACCACCCAAAATGGGCTGGCACCACCCACCTTGGGCTGGGTCCTCCCCCATCAATCACTAATTAAGAAAATGCCCTACAGCTGGATCTTATGGAGGCGTTTCTCAATTGAGTTTCGCTCCCTCCTTTCAGATAACTCTATCTGTGTCAAGTTGACATTAAAACTAGCCAGGACAGTTTCCATCGCCGCAAAAGAAAACTGCCCATCTGCAGCAACCCTCCACCCGGTCCCTGCCTTGGCCCTACTGTGCTTCTTGGTCCAGGACTCCTTTTGTGAAGCCTCCATGTACCTCGGCCCCCGTGCTATAGGGAGGGGGTTGTTCTAGGTTCCATTTTTACAGATAAGAAAGTAGGGGGAGGATACAATGGTGGGGGGCGGACCATGGAAGGACTGGGAGACGAGTGGGATTGGGGTACATGATGGGAAATTCCCAATGGCTCAATAAAAATTATATTAAACAAAAAGAAAGTCAAGGCCCAGGTCCATTCAAGGACTTTTCCTTCTCCAGCATAATGTCTAGGGTTTTCCCCAGAACTGTCCTGCATGGGGAGGGCAACAAATGGGGACTCCTGTCACCCAGACATGCCACTCTCTCAGGAGGGCCTGAGGGTGAGCTAAGGGCACCTCTTATGCCCAGTCTGTTGTCAGGACAAAGCGAACACCTCTCATAGAGGACACTTGGGCAGGCAGATGAGAACAGGGCCCGCTCAGGAACTCGGACATCAAGAGACCTGAGGATAACAGAAGCCCAGTTCTACTTACAAGCGGTTCTGGGGCTTTGTGCAACAGACTACACCTTTTCTCTTTTTCTGGGCTCCTGAAAGTTCATGCGTGACAGGCACCCACCCTCAGTACCCAGGGTTGCCATGAGTCCAGGTGAGTTCAGGAAGATACATCTATCATAGTACTGGAAACCACACATGCCACCTCAAAGACCCCAAGCCCAGGGAGGCTGGAGGCTGGCGAGGCTACAGCATCAGAAGCTTGGGACACAGCCAGAGTTGGACTCCCTGACCCCTGGAAGCCTGCCTCTCTCAACTGTAACAGGATTTAATAATCGTTCCTGGCTCCTGGAGAGCTGGGAGACAGGCCCTGCAGTTACCAGCGCCCTCTGGGCCTCAGACAGGGAAACCAGACAGGCTCCTACTCCAACCTGCTGTCCCAGCCCAGGGCGGCTCTCATCCCGGCCTCTTTCATCTTAGGTCTAATTAGCCAGGCGCCCCACCCCAAAGCTCCTTGGACAGGAGTCATCACTCCCAATTTATAGATGGGGAAACTGAGGCACCTAGAGGGAAGTGGTTTAGAGCTGTCGCCTGTGAGTCAGCTATGGAGCCAGAGCCCAGAGGAGGCCCAACAAGGTCTTCTAGCTGGACCTGCCCCTCCCCCCGCTCCCATCTCCATCCCCACTCTCCTATCCTCGTTCTGGGGACCCAGGCATCCTTCCTTTTAGGATTCTACCTCACCACTCGTGTGTGTGTGTGAGGATAGGGTAGAGAGGGGCTTGGGCAGCCAAGGGGACTCAGGAGTTTCGTCTTCACCGAAGCTAGCAGGAGGCTTGAGGATGGTGGGTGGGCGAGATTTGGACGCCAGTAGTTCTGTGCCCTGAAAACTCGAGGCCAGTGGGTACCCACAGCCTGGGTCTCCTGAGCCACAGGCCCAGTTCCCGAGGCGCAGCCTGGACCTAGCCCTCTGGACTCCAGTACAGAGTGCACTCCTTGGTCCTAGGTCTCCGGCAGTCCAGTCTCTCTACGCAGGCTTTGGTTTCTCAGTACACGTTAGTCGTGCTGCGAGCCGAGTGACCCTCCAGGCCCCACCAACACGCACATCCGAAGTCCGGGTCCCGTTGTTTTTCGGCTTCGCGGCGGCTTAAGGCCGGTCCAGCCCGCTGTTACTCTAGCCTGCCCGACCCCCTATTCGCAATCGACGCGGCTTCGGACAAAGGTCAGCGGCTACCATCCGGCTGCGACCCTGGCGCCGGCTTCTCGCCCCCAAGCAGAGCGGGGTGTCTCCCCCGCGCCCGGTCAGCGTTGAGGACGCCAAGCCAAGCCCTGCGGCGCCGGTCCGACCGGTCCCACCGTCACCGGCGCCTTGCTCTTCCTGCTCTGCCCTGGGAGTGCGCCCCGCGCGCCCCCCAGCGGCCGCTCCGAGACTCGCACAGCCGGGCCGTAGCGCGCCGTCCTGAGTGCCGTGCCGGGCGGCTAGGGGACGCGCTGGCGGCCTTCCCGATCTGCCCGAGCCGCTGTCCGGCTCGAGGGCCTGGGAACGCACCCCGTCGGGGAGCGGGCCGGGAGCTCGGCCCACCAAACCCCGCCTCTGCCCGTGCCTGCGGCGGTTTCGGGGCAGGGGGCCTGCAGAGCGAGACAGTTACTCAGACCTGGCGAAACCAGCGTGTCGGCACCTGCGGACCTGGCGGGCGTGGCAGGCGGAGGCTCCGTTACGCCCCGCCCCTGGGCTCGCCCGGTCCCGGCCGCCCACGCGCCGCGCGCCCCGCCCCGGCCCGCGCCGCCAGCCTGCCAGCCCGGAAGGAGCCGACCGAGCGCCCGCGGCAGCTGACTCAAGCGGTGAGAGAGGCCGGCCCGTTACCACGGGCGCCAGGGGCCCAGGCGACGCTGTGGTTTCGGTGCCCTCGTAGGCGGGCGGCCTTAATGAGCCCTCGGCACGCACCTCCCGAGTACCCCCACCCTGATCGCGGCGGTCCCCATCCCGCAGGGGCTTGCCCCGCTGCTTTCGGCCTCATCCCCGAAGCCTCCAGATCTCAGCTTGGGAACTTGGGCCCTGGGGGTCTGTTGGGGGTCTGCAAGACCGGCCTAGGGTGACAGCAGCCCCCTCCGGGGCGGTGGAGGACCCGGGCGCCCTCTGGCGGCCGCGAAGGCCTGGCGCGTCCTCGCCGCGTGTCAGTGCCAGAGGGCCTGACGCTCCCTCCTTCCCTCTGCAGAGAACTGAGTGGATGACTGACCATGGGGCCCCTGAGTCGTGAAGCCTGGGCCCAGCGCCTGGGGGCTTTCCGAGCCAGCCCATCCGCCTTCCTGGCAGGTGCCGAAGGTGAGGACTTGGGTCGCGACCTGCTGAGTGACCTAAGGAGTGAAAAGCTAAGCGAGCAGACCAAGGTAGGTACTGCCCGAGTGCCCTGCTGTGGGCCACATGGCTGCTCCGTACCACTGCGTGCTGAACCCCATCTTCATGGGTCCCTCTTAAATCCCCCATCTCAGGTTTCCTTACTGACACTGAGCTTGGAGTACTCTGACAAACTGTGGCCTGATGCACCTGCCGCAGAGGCTGCTGCCACCTCCTTGTTGGACACACTTGTCCTCCTGCCCTCAAAACCTTCAGCTCTCCGGAGGCTCCTGCTGTTGGCAGCCACCACAGCCCTGGTGTCGGGAGGTGCTCTGGGACCCACTTCGGGAGCTTCCTGCCGGCTTCTGCCCCTTCTGCTTGGTTTAGCTTCAGGCCGAGACATGGGACGAAGCTTTGGAACCCCCTCGGAACAGCGCCACCTACAGGCCACAGCGTGTGAATGCCTGGGAGAGCTTGAGCGCTGTAAGCCAGGGCTGCTGGCTCCCTCCCTGGGGATGCTGCGTAGCCTCCTAGGGCAAATGGGTCCCATCCAGCCTGTCAGCCTGCTGCTGGCCCTTGTTCTGCACAACACCTTGGTGGTACCACCCGGGGCTGGGGCTGGGGCTGGGCTGCAAGGCCTGCTTGTGGCTGGGGTCTCCTCCGTTGGGAGTTGTCCCTGGGACTGGACTCTAGCTGAAGAGCGAGATGCCCATCGTCAGCCCCAGGCACCCAGCTGGTCCACAGCTGAGGAGGAGGCCCATGGCCTTCCATTGCTAGAGCCCAGCCCTGAGGAGGCCCGAGAGCTGAAGGCTGCAGTGGCCCAGCTTCTGGACACTTCCTACCTGCTCACTCCTGTGGCTCAGGCTCAGCTTCTGTGGCTGCTGGGCTGGGCCCTTCGCGGTCTTCGGGGTCAGCCACCAGTGCTCTTCAAGCCACAGCTAGTTCGGCTGCTGGGCACAGCGCAGCTGACGCTGTTGCACTCAGTTCTGGCTCTCAAGGCAGCCTTTGGTGAGGCCCTGTTCACTGCTCAGGATGAAGGCCTGCTGCTCCGCAGGCTGGCCTTGGTGGCCCAGCACCCAGCCTTGCCCTCACCCACACACCTCCTTTACCTGCACTGCATCCTGAGCTTCCCAGAGAATTGTCCACTGGGTCCGGAAGGGGAAGAGGCTGCCCCGCTGCTGTTGGGTCCCCAGCTGTGCCGGGGCCTCATGCCCAGTCTCCTGCACGACCCAATGGTCCTCTTGGCTCGCCTGCATTTACTGTGCCTGCTCTGTGCTGATGCCGAGGAAGAGGAGAATGGCCAGGTTCAGAGCCCACAGCGGTACCTACAGGAGCTTCTGGCAGGCCTGCAGCAGAGGGCAGCCCTCGATGATGGTCCCCAGGCCTTGGCCACTCTCTGTTTCCAGGCCTCATATCTCATTGCCAGCTGCCTAGCTGGGCAACCTACAGTACGGACATCTCTGATCCATGGACTGGCCCAGCTCTACCGAGCTCGGCCCTCCCTGGCTCCCCACTTTGTGGATCTCTTAGATCAGGTAAGTCCTGAGCTGAGAGAGCCCCTCAGGGCGGTGCTGCAGCAAGAGGTGGTAGCCAGGCCAGGCAAGAACCAATCACTTCGCTGGCACCTGCGAATGCTAGCAAAGGTGGCAGAGGGAGATGCCCAGAGTGCCACCCTCAGCTTTCTACAGGCTGCAGCCATACACTGCACTGACTGGGGCCTCCAGCAGGCCCTGCTGCGGGTATGCCGTGCTCTGCTGCGGACAGGTGGGGGAGCTGGCCTGGCAGACTTGCTGCAGGTACTGGCCAGACGGCTCGAGGATGCTGATGGACGGGACCATGCCCGACTGTACTATATCCTCTTTAACCATCTATCAAGTCCCAAGTTGGGAATGGCCCTGGGCCCCTCGCTTGCTGCCCCTGCACTGGCCTCATCACTGGTGGCTGAGAACCAGGGCTTTGCATCAACGCTCATGGTGCAGGAGACTCCAGCTCCAATTCAGTTGAGTGTGGGGCCTCAGAAGGCCAAAGGCCCACTCCTGGTGCTGCATCTGCAGGTAGAGGCTCTGGAGGTTCCTGTCTACTCTCTGGAGCTGCGCTTCCGTGTGGAAGGACAGCTCTATGAGCCTTTGGAGGCTGTCCACATACCCTGCTTGGGTCCGGGACGGCCCACGCACCCTCTGTGCCTGCCCTTGAAGCCCCGATGCCCAGCCCCTACCCGCCTCCATGTCCAGGCCCTTTATACCACATCTGCTGGCCTCACGTGCCATGCCCACCTGCCACCCTTGTCTGTGAACTTTGGTGACCTCTTCCTGCCTTTCCCCCAGCTCCCCAAGGGCTCTGAGCGGTGTTTCTTTGATGATCTCTGGAACTCCTGCCTGCCAAAGGGTGTCGAAAGTCATTTGTGGTGTCCACTTGGGCCACAGGGCCTGGACGCCTTGGTGTCCAGACACCTAGAGCCCTTTGTTGTGGTGGCTCAGCCCCCCACCACCTACCTCATAGCTGTCCGCCTGCCCCCTGACTCCATGTTGCTGCTGCGGCTGGAGACCGCTCAGGTGGATGGTGTGCCTGTGGCCCTGAGGACCGATAACTGGGCCGTGCTGCCCCTGGCGGGGGACTACCTCCGTGGCCTTGCAGCCCGCTGAGTAAAACCAGGTGGGGCAGAACTTGTTGCTCTTAGGGGGTGGTCCAAGGGACTGCCAAAGGAGCACATTCTTGTAGCTCCTGCCCCATAAAATCACATTCACTGACGGCTCTCACTGGCTTGTTTTCTTTTGAACCCTTGTTAGGAGCAGACTTCCTGGGGTTGGATCTTAAGCCCTAGAAAAGATCCAGACTGGTCCCAGTCCTGCAGACCTCCACAATCCTGCTAGGATAGTATGAACAATATGCTTCCCATGAGGTTTGGCTTAGCCCAGGATCACTCTGTGACTTCATGTGAAGGCTGGAGATTGAAGATGGGCCTCCTCACTCTGCCCCAGCTGAGCTCAGACTACATAGCACAATAAGCTAACAGCCCGGACCATGGAGAGAAGGCTTGGTGACTAGATGGTCCCTTCCTGGGCAGTGCTGGTTGGAACCAGCTGTAGAGAGGGTGTGTGCTGGCAAAGTTCTAAGCAGATGGAGGGCCCATGTGATCTGATTTTTAAAAAGCCCACCTTTTAATGGCAACCCCCGGGAAAGCCAGTCTGTGCTTAGGAATCTTCTCAGGTGGAAACTTGTTCTCCAGCTTCCTTCTCCAAATGTGCAAGACACTGAGGATGCAGATACATTGAAGGCATCACTGTTGCCAGGCACCAGGCTGGGGTTTTCCTTGTTACAATGCTGCAGGTCTCTCCCCGCAGCTGAGGAAATCTCCAGCTGAAGGAGTTAAGTGACTTTCCTGAGGTCACTCGGCTGGGAGGGAGTAGTATTTTGTCATCCCATGGCCAGCCTCCATTGCCACACTCAGCAGAGATGTGCAGGAGCCACAGTCTCCTGCCCTTTGAGCCCCGAGAAGCCCTCAGTAGGATGTGCCGGAGCAGCTGTCAGTCAGGGCTGAGTGGAAGGATGACCTTGGGCTGAGTTGTTCTGGGGAAAGGGCCATCGTGGTTGTGTGGGTGTGTTGGATTAACCCTGCCACCCCGCTCTGGTTTCTTACAAGTCAGTCTAAGAGGGGAAAGAGGGCTTGGGCCAGTTTGTGCCAAAAGGCCAGGTTCAAGTGCAAGCTGTGGCAGGGAATCGTTACTTGAGTGACTTTTCATCCTAGATAGGACATCTACAACAGACCAAAGAAAAAATTCCATTCAAGCCTAGCTACTGAGCCAGTGAGTGGATTTGGAGTTACTTAGGGGAGTATGAGTGGCTTGAAAACAGCTGTATCACAAAAAAGGCATGGGTGACCATTCCCGAAAGCTGCCTTGCTGGAGCTTTTACAGGTCTTGCAGACAGCTCCACCTGAGATTCCCCAAAGCAACTGTTGACTGCTTTTATAATGTGAGGGATGGGCCTCACCAATCCTGTAACTTTCTGAGCTTCCAGAGCCTAAGTTTCCTGAGTCTTCTGAGCCTGAAGAAGTATTTCAATGAGGAAGAAGCAGTTACATAGCATTCGCCTTGGAAGCCATTGCCAAATCAGGAAGGTGGCCATTCTAGAAACTTCTCCAGCTGGTTTGAGTAGAGAAAGGATATAGGTCAGTTCCTTACACAATTCTTAGGAAAGCTAGAGAAGTAGGTTCTACAGAAGCCACCACTGGAGTTATTCTGTTCCAGGACAAACCCCCCTGTCTGCAGCCCAGCTCCTCTTGGTGATCTGGCATGGGGAGTGGGTGCTGCCACTCCTCATGCCCACTAAGCCAGAGACCTGCTGCTGCTGCTGCTGCTGCTAGAGAGAGCCTTGACATCCCCATGTCTAATTCAGAGACTATCTCAGTAGTGTGATCCAGTTTTCATCACAGTAGTGAAGGGACCTAGAAAAGCAGTTCTTTTCGTATGAATGCAGGAAGTGCGTTAAGCCTGAGTCTACGATAAGGATAAGAGGTCAGGGGCCTGGGGGCAGCTCAGCAAAGTGCCCAGACATGAGGACCTCAGACCCCAGCACCCATGGAAAGCCACGTGAGACAGGGTTTCTCTGTGTAGCCCTGGCTGCCCTGGAACTCACTCTGTAGACCAGGCTGGCCTCGAACTCACAGGGATTGACCTGACTCTGCCTCCCAAGTGCTGGGATTAAAGGTGTGTGCCACTATTTTCCTGGCTGGAGCTTTTTAGCAAGCAGTGTAGCTGAATCAGCAAACCCCAAGTTCATTGAGAGGCCCTGCCTTGGTGAGGTGAATAGCAATCAGACACCCAATGCCCACCTCTAGCCTACTACACACATATGCGCACACACCCATTCACACAGGACCACACACACATGCACACACAGGGATAGTTAGCCCGTGTAAGGATGAAGCCTCTGTCTTACTCCCATCTTCCTACCCGTCCGTGGACCTCTGTTTGGTTCACCCACGCCTTCAGTGCTGGACACCAGATGACAACTCCACCCACCAAAACAAGTTACCTGCTCTGTGTCACAATTCAGATACCACTAACAAGCCCCAGGTTGTGGCCTGTGATTCTGACCAACAGGCTAATCAGGGATTCTATAACCACTTCTCTAGATTTGGTCATTTCTTTTGTTGTTTGGTGGTGGTTTGTTTTTTGAGACAGGGTTTCTCTGTGTAGCCCTGGCTGTCCTGGAACTCGCTCTGTAGACCAGGCTGGCCTCGAACTCACAGAGATCCACCTGTGTCTCTGCATTCCCCGTGCTGGGATCAAAGGCATGTGCCACCACCACCTGGCTTTTTTTTTTTTTAAGGTTTAATTTTATTTTATGTGCATGGGTGTTTTGTCTGCATTCATGTCTACATTAAGGGTGTTGGATTCCCTGGAACTGAAGTTACAGACAGTTGTGAGCAGCCATGTGGGTGCTGGGAATTGAACTCAGGACCTCTGGAAGAGCAGCCATTGCTCTTAACCACTGAGCCATCTCTTCAGCCCAAGGTTTGGTAATTTCTAAGGGACATTCTGCTTACCTTCGCCTGCCTATTAGAAAAGGATAGTACATTGCCAGGTCTGGTGGTGCGTGCCTATAATCCTAACAGTCCAAAGCCTGAGGCTTCAAGTTCAAAGCTGGCTAGTGGGTTCATAGTGAGACTGTCTTAACAAGCAAAAGTATATTTCAGGGGACTAGAGGGTTCAGTTCCCAGCACCCATAACCAACAGCCTGTAGCCACCTGTGACTCAGGCTCCTGGGGATCCTATGCTCTTCTCTGGCCTCCACAGGTACCTGCACCCATGCATCCATTCCTATGTAGAGACACACACACATTCGTATAATTTAAAAATTTTAAACATATCACAAAAGATACAGATGAATAATTAAATGGCAGGAACACACAGGGCAAAGTGTGTTTCCATGTGCTCTGATGTGCTATCCTCCAGCTATCTGAACAAGCTTTTGTGTCCCCCCCCCCCTTTAGTTTTTGTTTTTCGAGACAGGGTTTCTCTGTGTAGCCCTGGCTGTCCTGGAACTCACAGAGATCCGCCTGGCTCTGCCTCTTGAGTGCTGGGATTAAAGGATGAAAGGTGCCACCACTACCTATTGAATTTTTTTTAATGTTAAACCTGCTGTGGTCACCAACAGGCATTTCTATGCACACAGTTCAAATCTAGACTCTTACACATTCTTGCCAGTGCTTTATTACCAAGTTATGGTTCTATCTTTTATTTTGCCAAATTTTGTCATGGATTTCTACATCTATGTTCATGACAGATACTGTTCTGTGGAGTTTTTTAAATAGTGTCCTTATTTGGTTTTGGTATGAGGCCGATGCTGATGCAACAGAGGAGTAGGAAAGTCGTCCCCTGGCTTCTAACTTCAGGAAGAGACTTCAGGGAATTGGTATCCTTTGCCCTAAATGTTTTCGTTAAGCTCACAGATAAATTCATCAGGCCAGGCACTTTATGAACTGGAAGACTACTGATGGCCATTGTCTGTGCCCCGTGTCTCCCACCCCAATTCACAGAGCGAAATGTCTTTTTTCCTGAAAATTTCTTACTCTGAAAAATGAATTTTAATATAGCAAATTATACTGCAGAAGTATCAGACAAAATTTTCACAGCCTCACTATATTTCCTAAATACTTAATAAGCTGACTTACAAATCTACAGTTAATTAAAAAATGATCTTTAGCTGGGCATAGTGGCACACACCTTTAATGCCAGCACTGGGGAGACGGAGAAGCCAAGACGAAGAGCTGTGCAGAGACCCTGTCTCTAAAAATAAATAAATATAAAAAATAATCTTTGGCCAGGCGGCAGTGGCGCATGCCTTTAATCCCAGCACTCAGGAGGCAGAGTCAGGCAGATCTCTGTGAGTTTGAGACCAGCCTGGTCTACAGAGAGAGATCCAGGACAGGCACCAAAAACTACACAGAGAAACATATATATATATATATATATATATAAAGTTTCTTCACCTACACCCCCACTTTGAGGTAGAAATTTGACTATTTACCATAACATAATGTAAAATTTAAACATCTCCATACTTTTATGCTCCTTGGAGATCTCTGGAGGAGTACAATGGTAAATTACTAACTAGTTAGTTTCCCCCAATGGTCATATTGCTGTGGGTATAGGAGTTGTTTGTTCCAGTGCTTTGGCTCCTGATGAGTACCAGCACAGGAGATGGTCACCAGAAAGCCTGCACTATGACGTCCTTTTCTGAGCTCCAAGAACAAAAGCCTTTAATCTCAGCACTTGGGAGGCAGAGGCAAGCAGAACACTGGGAGTTAGAGGCCAGCCTGGTCTACTTAGTGAGTTTGAGGCCAGCCAGGACTGTTTACTGAGAAACTGTCTCAAAAAAAAAAAAAAAACAAGATTAATGTGATATACTAAAGAACAATTTACAAGAGAAATATTACATGTAATACCAATACATGGAGAAAATATGTAACAAAAACCCTGCACTGTTCATGATTCAAAAACAAAACCACCTCAGCGAACTAGTACAGAAACTTCTTCATTTTGATAAAGAATGTATCCAGGGCCGGGCAGTGGTGGCACATGCCTTTAATCCCAGCACTCAGGAGGCAGAGGCAGGCGGATCTCTGTGAGTTCAAGGCCAGCCTGGGCTACCAAATGAGTTCCAGGAAAGGCGCAAAGCTACACAGAGAAACCTTGTCTCGAAAAAACCAAAAAAAAAAAAAAAAAAAAAAAAAGAATTTATC